CATTGGACTGAGACACTCAAGAGGTACCTGAAGTGTTCACCTTTAATGCAAATTATTTTAAGTAGAAGATCCATCTATATGCTTTGTATGCTCAGATTGACTGGAACTTGCAAATTTTTTTGCAATACAAATGATAATATATTGAATAATCCAAAAAATACAAAAAACACAATCAAAGGCAGGCATATATTTTTTACAAATCCAGCCAAAAACAGTTATGGACAAACCAGAATTATAAGTAGACCTCCTGATATTCCAGCTAAGCTACTGCACTGCACTGGGCACATGAGCAGTAATTTGATTGCAATGAATAATAGACAATGTTGGTATTATACAGACAAATATTCTGTGCTGGACGCTGGACATTTGCTTATCGTATATCAGGTATTGGACAGGTAGGAGGAGCCCATTGTGTCCTTTTTTAGATTATGAGCAGGTCCTAGGCACCTTGTGTATTCTCTTTGCTGTGCTTTACAGATTACATAATATATAATACATATAATAAAATATGTGTCAACAGGTCGAGGGTTTCATGTTGCATAACAAAGATAACATAACCTAATATGAACTTGAAAGCTGGATTGCTAATAGAATAATTACTTTGTACGGAAGACTTCCTTCAATTTTAATAGTCATCGAATATGTTTTGCACATATTCTCTTTACGTATGTGTAGAACTAAAGATTCAGGTATATCTAGTACTAAAACTTTGTTTCATTTGGATAGAGTACCAAGCTTTGTAGAATACAAATTAATTATTTATCAATAAAAGAGTGACAAGATAAAAAAAAGCCAACCCATTTCGGATTTTCACCGCCTTCGTCAGGGCTCAAAAACTGCTTGGTTGGTTAAATCCTTTTCATGAAAAAATGGAATTGGATAGATAATGGTATTATGCAGTGTCCATGACTGGATTCTCTGCGACACAATCTTATGAAAATACCCTGTATTAAATGCTTACATTCATGTAAAACCAAAACGTTTTTTTCTTTTTTGTTAGTTGGATAGAGAAGTGACAGGTTAGACTTTTTTTTGCTGTCTGTGTCCCCTTTAGGTAGACTCACCCCTCTATCTGTCCTGGTGACCGTTATCACTGAAACAGAAAGTGAGGGAAAATCCATTATTTTGTAGGGGATAAAGGTTTTTGTGACAATTGTGCTAGTGGGGAAATTTTCCTCTCATCTGTTGCATCCCCAGTACAGGAAATGAAGAGAGGCGTATTGACTATAAAATGAGCCTATGGCACCCTGCCCAGCTCCTGGCAATCAGTGACGTCACTCGTTGCCAGGAGCTTTACAGGACAAATGTCAGCTGTCTTCGTGGGCTGGCAAACTTTTGCTGACCCACGGATTGGCACCCCCCTTCAAGTGGTGCCCAGGGCATGTGAAATATGTGTCATGCCCTGGATACACCACTGCCAGTGGGACACAGATATTAAAACAAAAACCAGATAGGAGTTTTAACCCCTCCCTACTTTAGGCAAAATCAAAATACAAGAAAGTGGCTTTAAACACACTTTAATATTAAAGAGGTTCTATAAAAGATTTTATGTTTGTATTGAAAAGGTAACATACAAAATTTCAATAAACATTTTAAAAATGCAAATAAATTAAAATCACTGTGACTTTCCTTTGTTTTTTTCTACTATATCATGATTTTGTGGCACTCTTGGGTCTCCCCCTCGTTAATACTCCTAGTTTGCACTTGGAGACCATCTTTTCACTCCTGCCCACAATACATTTTGTAGGTGAAGTTATAATAAGTCAGTCACATGGCGATCATAGTTTTTATTTACAGTGATACCGTGGCTCAAGGTCTCATACTAAGTAGCTTAAAGTTTACAGACATATTTGACTGCAGAGAATCCTGTTACATTTGTATTTTGCTTACTCATAGTGTGACAGTCACAGATTCAAGAGTAACAGAGTGACAATGACAATAAAAACAATGACACAAAAAGTTTGTTTTGGATACCAAAATGCATGATTAAAAGCATTCCATTTAAGAAAAACATCTGTTATTGCATTAGTACATATACACATTTACGTCAGGTAATTGTTTTTAGTGATATAGCAAACACAGTGTTGTAGTGGATTTCATTAGTTGGCTCATAAAGCTTGCCAAGCAGATACCCCACTTTCTCCCACAGTGAATGTTATCAGAAATCAAAATATAACAATCCCCTAACAGCAATCACCCGGGAATTTTACAGCCCCAAGTAGTCCTATAAGTCTCATTCAGTTGATATGCTCGTCAATCATCACAAGAACAGACTAGCCATACATGTGTAGTAGGGCTGATGTGAGAAATCACTTATTTCCCCATCAATGCTAGCCAGCATGGATGGAGGAATCTCCCCTGCCAGCTATTGTATTCTGACAGCCAGTGCTTGTTGCTGTTAGAATATCTGAACACTGACTGCATCTGATTGGATGAAGTTGCAGTTGGGATGACATTTTTCCAATGGCTCCTTCTTTTTGCAATCAAAGTTTGTTGAGCCATTTTGGCCAATTTAGTAGGAATTTGAGCTGTGTTTGGTAACCTGTAGTTTAATGCCGTTCCTTATGTCACCATTTCAGTCCTCCATATATCTCCAATAGCACATCAGAACTTTTATCACAATCTTACTTCATGTGCTATATTATCCACATGCCGAGCACTATTGCCAGTCCTCCTTCTCTCCCGATTTCCGGTCTCGGTATCTCCTTCTCCCTTCTCACAACCCAATGCCTCGCTTGGTGATTAAATTTCACAAAGTACTTCTGAATTACAGGTCTGGTTACTGTTCAGAGAAGCAAGTACTGTATGTACCTAAAACAAAAAAACAGCACCTTCTCTTGTGTAGAATCATCTAACCACATATATCTTTATTAATATTGTGCTTACATGTTTATATCCTGAAACTTCGCAGCACATAATATAATATCATTACAGCACGTCATTGAAGTTTGTCAGGTCACTTTGCCAAGGCTAACATGTTCCATTGCTATAGGGGATCCTACTCCAATAGAATGCATTCAAACATTCCTTTCCATATAGTCTTCACATATATGCTGGCATAAATTCTTCCTCCCACCTCCTTATTAATGCATGTGTGCAAATTTGCCACCCATAGCTGATAGATAAAAATACTTCTCTACATAAAACTTTCCATCAAACCACAAGTAATTATTTTTAAGGACAAATTCTTCACATTTTAAAATAAAAGCTTTCTTTGCATTTATATTCTGTAAATGCTTTGCATGTGCTGGTATACAGATGCACAAAGGAGCTTTGCTGTGTATTTGGTGTGGTTTTGTGTCTTGCAGGCCGTGGTAAGACATGTTATCCATAATGGCTCGGCTATAAGGAGCTAAAAGTGAACCTGTCAGGTTGCACACAGCTTGTAAAGAACAGGCATTAAGGTACATGTATTGGACTGTTCAGTGGTTGGGATTGGACCAATGGCTAGCTGGGGCTATGTTTACTTCCAGCTTGGTGAGGAGTCATGGCTCGGCATGTAGCCTTTTTGGACCACAGGAATTGATTTGAAGATGAAGGCATAGACTTCAATGGAAGCGAATGAAAAGATGCAACAGAAGCGTTTTGCACATTGCTGTGTGCGTTTTTGTGCGTTTGTACACACGTTTGTTCTTTCACTGCAATGCATTTCAATCTGCTCAATAAAACGTGCATCTTTGTATATGCACGTCTATCGCGCTTAAAAATGTGCAACGCACGCAAAACCACACTAAAAACCACACTAAACACGCTAGATGGTACACTTCAACTAAACATGCCCTATATGTGTGAAAACGCTGATGCCTAGGTGTGAACAGAGCCTAAAACAGGATAACAAGGCCAATGTTCAGAGGAGCAGCTGATTGTGCAGGAAGCTAAAACATTTACAAAGTGCAACATCCATTGTAAGTGATTTCATCAGCATTTGAAAAAACTTGAAAACCTTTTGACTTTAATATACACTGTAACTGAACATTGTGCTGTACTGTACATTTCGGTACTGCACAGAAAACAATGGCCCCTAAAGATTGGTATAGACGGATTGGTTATAGATAAGTTATGTCCTTCTCAAGGAGCCTCACTTCTACTGCTGAATTATATGTAAAGTTAAAAGAAGGAGAATAAGATCCACCTTTGTAATGTGTGATCTCCGCACCAAAATCCCTGAGAAATATAGAAATCTGGTGGGTGACTCCCCCCCAAAAAACATACCTGTACATTGAGAATACATCCTCCATGTATTTTGTTATGTAAAAGTTAAAGACTGACTTTGTGAGTGTAACTAAACAGCTGGATGCATTTGTCTGTGCAGCTGTTACATCAGCGTCCTCTGTCACGTGACTCATTCATTGTGTGTTTTTTCCTATTATCCTTTTGTAAAAACTGTCACATCAACAGCGACAAACAGCCTGTTCCCATCCCGGACTACAGTAACTGTCGTACATTATAATCCTCTGCCGTGTCTATTGTGTCACAATCATGTTCTTAGATGAAAATTGGCATTCCCTTCTAACTGCTCCTTGGCTGGTTACATACCAGAGATGTGACAGTCTAGATTTACATATGTCCCCTGATACTGTAATATAGTTCATGTACAAAAACATTTTCTGACTGTAGGGACATTGTAATAGTCACACATTTAGTTCTGTATATATAGATGTCTTCTCTCATTGTGTGCACTGTATAATGTATGTTCATGGGTTGTGTATATTAAGAATACTTCTATGTGCACCTTTATACAAGGCGTTGTTTTGAAATAATACAAACTGATTTCAACAAAGCTGATGTGCTCCTGAGATAGCTGAAAATAATTGGTGTTGTCTGTCATTACAGTTCTTAACTATTGTAATGTGTTGTATTTTAAATATTTTTTGATGCAAAAACAATATTGGCAGGTATGGTGTCCCAAAAGTGACTTTTGCAGTTTCTCAAAATGGCATTGGATGTTTATTTGGTGTGCGGATTTATGGATGTATATATTATGCCTTCATTGCAGAACGATGAGTAAAAACGACGGAGTGGCGCTATTGGCTAAGGACCGGATTCCTCCAGGGACACCACCCAGGACACACAAGCCTTTAGACAATGGGCTGAAGAAGAGGTGAGATATCAGTAATAGCACATATGCTTTTTGAACTCTTGAAATGGCTTCCTTTATCTTTTTCAGTCCTTCTCTTCTCTGTTTTTCTATTTGCATGACTTCTCCAGTAAAAGTCAAACTTTGCCCTACCCCTTCCATCCTCACAGGTCTTCCCATTGGTTGTGTAGTCTGATAGGTGCCCTCTACAAAAGCCAATTTTTTTTAATCAGGAGGGTGCCAGCAGAGCCACCTACAATGCTAATTTCGACTAAGTCAACAGGACTCGGTCGAAATTTACAGTGGTTTGTGACAGGTTTACTTTAGAACTAATCTAATTAATCAGCAGTGGAAACCCTGCAGTTTTGGGGCATGTTATTTAAATCTATGGAGCTAAATTAAAAGGTGGAAGTTGGAAGTTCTTGAATCAGTTGTGCTCCTGAACAATTTAGAAATATTCCAATACAGCCGTGCCCAAAGTGAAAGTACTATTATATTATGTGTTTTAATATGTTAGCTATTGATTGGGGAAGAATGTATTGGAGTCAAGCTGATAACATTTATTGGCTAATTATGATATATTGTGTGGCAAAAAAAACAATGTGTTTTGAAAGTTTGCATTGTTAATAAAGTAAAGTAAAATTTCACCTTTAACAAAGTGGCCTTACACCAGCTGTGATACCCATAAAATGTCATCAAAATACACAGTGGGAGGAATTAATCAAAACTGGAGCAGATAAAATCTGGAGTAGTTGTCAATGGCAGCCAGTCATGTTCAGTTTGTTCAGTTAAGGTTTGAAAATGAATGGTTCTGATTTGCTCTGGATTCAGTCTGCTTCAGTTTTGATGTAAACAATGTTCAGACACAGTATTCATAGATACAAAGTAATATTATTGTGACTTTTGTATTTGAACTGTTCTATTCATTAGCAGATCAAAAAGATAAATTTTGATCTCCATTTGATGTCCGTTCAAGCGTTCTGACAAGTAAAAAAAAATAGTTGCTAAAGAAAGTTTGTTCCTATTTAACCCTTTTTCAACCTAATCAGCCCTAATTAACTTCTTCTTACTATTATTTTTCTATTGGGTTTTTTCTATTTTTCTAGCCATTAAAAAATAACTATGGTCAAACCTTTTTTAGCCATAGTTCTCTTTTGGGTCACAGGAGGACATTTACGTATCGCATTGCAGCCAGGACAGATCCAGACAATATTGTCGGGATCCTCCCCACTACCTGACTGACAGCTGGCTCTGACTCTCTAGAGGGTCGTTTAAAATGTATGTCAAGCCAAAATGTTTTTTCTAGTTTTGGATAGAATGGGGAAGGGTTAGAATGCCTATTGGATATTTACTATCTGGGGCATGGTTTGAGCAATTGCCTCTCACTTCCTCTCCTGCTGACAATGTTTTGTTAGAGAGGAAGTGAGGGAAAGTCTGCAACAGGACCGGGCACAAAAGAAATGTTAAAGAGGTGCTAGCCTCCCCCTTTTGTACAAAGCATTTTTATTTAATTCTGTGTTGCTGTTGGAGAGCTTCCTCCGTGTCCTGTGTGGTAAAACATTGTTAGCTGGACAGGAAGGGATGGGAAATCCAAATAGCATTGATCACCTGGCAGGAGTTCTAAACCTTCCCCATCTAATGTTTGAAGTAAAGTTTTTGGTTAGACATGCACGATGGAGTATGCAACAGGAGAAGAGGGAACAAGCAAAGGTGATTGTGAACCCCCAGAAACCCAAGATAAACCGTAACAGAACCATTAGCTATGCTTGGGATATCCATCCATCAGCTGGCAAGCAGTAGATATATGCAAAAACTTAAAAAAAAAAAAAACCTTTTCAAACAGATTTAAACTTACCTGTGTCTTCCGTCCGAACCACTGAAGAATCTCGGGCGGCCGCAAAGGATCTTGCGACAGGCGCAGTTCAGATGTTCAGCCAAGAGACAAAGAGAGACACAAGGTAAGTTTATGGAGCAGTGTGCACCCGCACACACACCGTGGGACATGAGAAAAGAGGAGGACAGAGGAGTCAGCGCTGGATCGGAGACCCGCACCAGCGCTGGAGGGACATAAGGGATGAAAAGGACAGTAAAGAAGAAGATGATCGGATTAAGAAACATAATTTAAGGTGATTGTGGGGGGGGGGGGCGCGCAACACTTTTTTCTTTGT